TCTGCTCCCCTCTCAGCCCCTATCCTACCCCACAAACTCTCTTTCACAATACACACACACACGGCTTCTCTTGCACACACTCAATACATCCCAAGTGTCCTTATCTAGAATGGACAGTCCCTAGTATGGACCCAAATCCCTCTGTCACCCTTTCCTATCCTAACGTCCCTCTTTTCTAGGAGCTCCATATTGTTGGTGTATCTGAGTGTATAACACAGCACCACAACAATAATACTCCCAGTAATGTGCCTGCGTGTATAACAGAGCACCACAGCTATAATACTCCCAGTAATGTGTCTGAGTGTATAATAGAGCTCCACAGCAATAATACTCCCAGTAATGTGTCTTTAAACTACAATAAATGTGTTTAGAAATCAGTCTGTTTAAATAAGATACATTGTTTTAGGGTTAGTTGTATAAATTGTTATTAATAAAATCGCATAATATTTTTCATAGCAACCCCACCCCTGGCAACAAACCCCTAAAATTAAAGTATCACTCTTTGTCCATTTGAAATGCTGGGAGGTATGAAGTACTTTTTAATCTAGAACTCCTTACACAGACTGTTCATTCATGTTCAATTAATCATTATCACAAGGCAGAAAAACAATAAACACCGTTGTCAACTTTCTCAGACATACAGACACTTGAGATGAATTTGTAATACTTTCTAAATCAATTTACTATCAAAATAGGAAAACAAAATATATTTAAAAAGACCTAAAATGCAGAGATTTACTCTCTAAACTGCAAATTATGGTTAATGAAGAATATAATCACAAACATATGGGAAAACAGCAGAGATGGTTAATTAGGCGTAGTGGTTAATTGTTTCAATTTCATATAGATTTTTTTTTTTGTCCTACACTTCTAATATATCTTGCCATTTCTATTAAACTCTTAGTTTGGCAAATCACTTAGTTTTAGACCCCACCCAAGACGTTATAGTCCCCTATAGCCACACACCGGCAACTACATTTATGTAAAAATCCCTGTCAAATTCCTTTTAATCTAGACTTGAAATGAACCAATCGGGTAAATCCTGGATGGATCAATTTGTTCTTTGGCAAATTAACAGGTATTTGAGGCTTTTGTCTAGTGGCAAGTTCTGTGGTTGCTTAATTACATGACAAAGTTTGATACAATTTTTTCTGTATTCAAGCATAACTGGTCACCTTTCGGCAAAGGGCGAATATAAAACAATGTTAGAGAAGTACCGGTAATTGTATTCTATTCAGACGCAGGAATGTCAGGAGGTTGTGAACATGACCAGCAAACTTCATTGTCCCCAGAAACTGCCGAAGCTAGAATAACCTATCTTTCACGGAGAGCAATGTCCTGTATGCTCGAACAATGCAGATCTCTCAATCAGCAAAAAAAAAAAAAACACATCAAATTCCAGCGTTTTAATAAGGTTATAGCAAACCCAGCGGCAAAAACAGAGTGTCTTTCAAACTGTGCATTCACAAGCTTCTAATGCGACTTTTTAGTAATTCTAGCTTGACATTTCTACGATGATCATTTTCTGCTTCCTGCTTGTCACTTTGGTTTAAATCTTCGTGAAGACCTCAGTCCACTTTTTAAAGGGTAAAAGCAAAACAAAAATCGATAGCAGTGTGGTGTTCCTTAGCTGCAGTAGCAGTTGGACGTAAATAAATGATTAAACGCAGTGAATAACGATGGTAATAGAAAACCTACACTAAAGAATATGGTTGACATTGGGCTAAACGCAGAGATTTAATGCTGAGTGGGCAAATAATAAAACCACTGACCTTCTACACTTTAACTGCACTTATTATTTAAGAAAAATAAAAAAAAAGTTAATAAAACCTCACTAGCAAGGTATAGCATTGAAAGAAAAAACATACAAACAAATCATTGTATTCGTACACGTTCGATTGTTTTATAATGCTCAATAGCATATTTTATTGTAAATACATTTCTTTGAAAATTTTCAAATACTAAGTATGTGAAAAATAGATGTGTGGTTATTTCATGCTAAATATTTGCAATAATTGGCTTAAAGTATTACTCCAACTTCCATGGCTACTTTTGCTTCTTAACATGGTCATGAATCAAGGACAGAGATATGTGCAGTTTTGTGCAGGTGGCCAGTTACACCCCAGGCACACGTGACTTAGGCAGCCCGGAACTCTGCTGTGGAGGCTGCCTAATGTCAATTATGGGGGATAAGAAAATCTCTATAAGAAGAGTGGTGAAAATTTCTAAAAATCATGGTGAGAACCACTTTTTTTTTTTGTCATCAATCTCCCCTATTATCCCGAAAGGGATCTGTGGAGTTAAAGTATGAAATGCGTTGGATTGATAGTTTTTGCAGGAAACCTATCCCTGTGCAGTGGCTTACCTCGGCTTGGACTCTCCGGGTTCTAAAGACTGTGCATTAGCTGCCATTCTAACAAACACCATGACCCTTCCTGGGAGATAGTCGATGTGCCTTCAATTGAAAATTAACAAATATGCTAATTTCAGATGTGATAAAAGAGGACTTACATAAATAAATAACTAATTTAACAAAAACCCCTTTAAAAAGAAATGTTAAATTCACTTTCACCCTTTTAGATAAAAGCACCATACAAATCTTTAGATTTTAAAGTCTTTTATAGCCTTTATGTAGAAAACAAAGAAAGTGATTTCACTACATGCACATTATTTAATATGATATAAACAACTCAGAGGAAGCCAGGAAATGAAAATTTTAAACAATGTTAATGGTTTTTACATCTAAATGGCCTATTCTAACTTAACTACAAATTACTTCCTTATCACGAGACAGGAAAATGGAAAGACTCCCATGGAACAAACAAGGAAACCCATAATAAATACTGCAATTAAAAAAAAAAAAAAAAAAATCATCAAAAACATAACCCATATGAGAACATGACCCAGACCTTTAGCACTAACAAAGGACCAAATAATCTTTTTGGAGGCATTAAATGGATGATTTAAAGGGGCCTTGTGATCTCTCCAATGCACTCTAATGTAGAACCACACTATAGTCTCTGGATACACTACAGCTTAATGTGGTGGTTTTGGGGCATATAGCCTGTCCCTCCAGAGTCAGCAGGGTAAACATTGTCTTTTCTGAGAAAAGGCAGTGTTTACAATGCTGCCTAATTCCACCTCTAGTGGATGTCACTTGGACAGTCATAGGGGAACTTCCTAAGTATCGTCCTGCAAAGATTGCAAGAACGACATTCAATATCTCCATGGGACGCTGAATGCTCCCCATAGAGATGAATTGATTCATTACATCTCTCGTAAGATGCTGAGTGATGTAGTGTGGCAATTTGTTATCCATTAACGCTGGACTCCCAACACCGCTCTATGGCAAAGCATTGGAATAAATGTGATCCTCAAGATTGATGATGACGTGGCTAAGGCTAAAAGAAAACTCTATAGTGTACCTTTAATAGGAATATGGTGGGTACTAGGGGTTTTTGAGTAGATGGAGGCTTCTTATTAAACCTTTATCAAATTATGTAAGATCAGTCAATGACCATTCCAATCATAGGTAGCAGAATGAATAAAGGTGTCTCAAACCTATTTCAGGTATTTCTGAGGCTCATCTGTTTTTGGACTCCAGAAAGGTCATTTTTGGTCTTAACGAATTACTGTCTGGAGGTAAACTACCTCTCCCACCAGACACTGGGTCCACCATGAGACCACGTGTACAATCTTCAGAAATCATTGTTTAGATTTTGTGGCTTCCAGGTTCTTCTTTCATTTCAAGATAACCCGTAGTATCTAGAATCTCCCTGGAGAACAAGTACGTGGTCAAAGGACTTTGACAATTATTAGATCCACAGCAGCACTTTTCAGTTCTTTCTTCAGCATCCACTTCTAACAGAAAGGAACATAACATTTGTATGTGCAGAAGCATCAAAGAACTGTGCCTGTAAATGTCTTAAGAAGTAGTTCATTTTTCTTTAATTCTTTGAATTTATGTGTTTAATACATAAAGCTTTAAATCATTTGGAGAAAACCAACTCCACTTTTAGTGTACCTTCATCCTAGAAAAATAAGAGGTATTAAAAGGACATATCCCCATTAAGTAACAGGTGTCTAATAGTTTGTCTTTTTGTTGTTACATTTTATTCTTTGACTTTGAGAATGCAATTGACTGACAGATGCTGTGATTCAGAAACCATTAACGTGTCTGGCTGTGCTTGTGGTATGTAATGATTCCATTTATATAATGGATACCAAACACAATATTTCATGAGCTCTGATCTTAGAAAAAAAAAAAAATAAGTAAAAAATAATTCAGTGTTTTATCAAAGCCTTAACTACATTATTAAGTTGACTAATACCCAATTGAATTACATGTCGCTAATACTTAAAGAAGCCGCTACCATCTCTGAACACGAATTCCTTGTGCCTAACAAATCCCACTTCTAATGCAGAACAGAAAAGCACTGAAATGTAATACATTGTACGTGCAAAATTTGATTAACCTTGATAAATGAAATGATATTTCTTGTTTTGTATCCAGTTGTATAAAGAGGCCACGTGATGTTAATGGATGGCACTTATCCCCAGTCTGATTAGTTGAACAGAGAGCTCACATTTCAGCTCTCTTTAGTAGTTATAAAAACAATTCTCATCTCATTTATTAATTTGTTTACATTTTTTTCCCAATGAGTGGTTGCTTACTTTTAATGTAACATGACAATTTCATAGAATTTTAAAACGTGCATAATGTAGCCCATGGAGCAGCGTAGCTAAGGGGAGTGGGCCTTGACATTGCCAGGAGACAGGCATCTAAGGGTCAGTTGTTAGGGATTGGTTTAAGGAAACTGAGTGGGGTGGAGTATAAGAAGTGGCCATTTTAGATCTAGGGATCACTTTAATATAAGTTGCACTTACCTGTTGTCGGAGATGCCGGTTCAGGAAGCTCCCTGGGTCAGAGGCCGGTCAGGAGGAGAAGGCCCCCGCAGAGGTTGAGCCCCAGCGCGGTTCCCGGCGTCCAAAGAGCCCTTATGGAGGTCCCGATGGCGGCTAGACTACCGGCAGGAAGGCCGCAAGCGGAGGAAGTCGCGGGAGGCGTCGCGGTGCAGCCGCACAAACACGTCGTCCGGCGAGGCTGGAGTTGCAGGCTGCTGTTTCGGGAACCGAATCCGAAACTGCCAAACGTTCTGGGAGCGAATGTGGAGGTAGGAGAACTGGCAAAAGGGCTGCAACTGCCGAACGTTCGGGAAACGAACGTGGAGGTAGGAGAACTGGCGAATGGGATGAAACTACAGAACGTTCGGGAGACGAACGTGGAGGTACTGATACTGCCGACCGTTCTTTTCACGGACGGGGAGGTAAAAAAACTGCCAAACGTTCGGGAGTTGAATGGGGAGATAGCCATACTGCCGGCCGTTCGGCTTCCGAACGAGGAGGCAGGAAAAATGCAGAACGTTCGGTTCTTGTGTCCTCTACTACAGGGAATGAAGGGGAAGTGTCTGCTGGTGACAGGAGTTTGGGCAGGGTCCAGCGGAAAAAGGAGGCGCTGTACGGCAGGCTTGGCAGCAGCTCCTAGGAACGCTGGAAGTGCTGTTGGTGGAGCAGGGACAGCTGCGGCCCATCGCCCAGGTGAGTCGACCTCTGACGCCATTGCCCCTCTAGTTGCTGGGCCATGGGTTACCACAGTGGTGGGTCCCGGTGTTAGTATGGTTGGTGACGGCAGGGGGCAGGCGGGGGACTGCTAGGGCACGGAGCGGACCAGAAGGGTATAGCGATACACGACGCCCCAGGGTCTCCCCAGTCAACGTGCGGAGCACAGTGCTTCACCAGGGTCTCCCATACGACCGGGCCGGGGACGACAACGGGCGGGTCAGGTCATCAGGGAAGGATCGGAAGGTAGTGACAGCGATGGACAGCGCAGAGGATCGACACCCTCCAGGAGGATTGCGCACAGGGCCCAAGCGAAGGGCGCATGGGGCGCAAGGAGGCACCGGTCACGTAGCAGCCATCAGAGGGTGACTGACTTAGACGACAAGGTTCCCTGCGGGGCAAATCACACCCGGGGGCAGCGTAGGGTGCCCCCTGTCAGGACACGTGGCTGGAGGCAGCAGGAAGACAGTTCCATGAGCAGGAGTTCCCCCTCAGGGACGGACGGCTAGTGGGGAGATGGGTTACAGTTCCAAGGAGGAGAGGGGACAGGGCAGGGTTTCCACGGCCAGCCTACTCAGGATGTCTTCTCCTTGCAGGTCTCGAAGACGGTCACCCTCGGTGAGGGAGAGATCCCACACGTTGAGGACATCAGGACGGTCGCCAGCAGGCAAGGCGGACCGGGTTGCCAAACAGGCATCTTCAAGGTCGCCCGCGGATCAGGTGGCAAGGGGTGCGGAAGGTGAGACATTGTCTTTGCAGCAGTCAGGGGAGCTTTTAGATGGCATCAAGCAATTAATTGATTCTTGGGCTGTAGGGAAAAGGAGGGACAGGGATTGCAGTCAGGTATGGGCTCAGCTGGGGGAAGTCACTGGGTCAAGTCCAGTGGTGGTTTTGGGTGACAGGGGCAGCACGGTCGGGGAAGGGGGTACGACCCCCGCGGTAGAGGCGCACAGATTGGTGAACAAGAGGAACAATTTACTTGGGGGTGTCCCGGAGGCCGTGTGGCAGAATGTACATGTTTATTTCGTGAGCCCGTTGGGCTGTCATCTAAAACTAGAATTGAAGGAGAGTATCTGGAAAGGGGAGTTCGTGGAGCACTTTTCGCTTCTCCCCCTTGAGGACTACATTGACCTCAAGGAGGAGGATAAAAAGGATGCTAAGAAGGAGGAGGAGAAGGAAAAGAAACGGCGGTATAGGACGATCCTTAAGACGTTTGGGAATTGGTTGAGGGCGTTCTGCATCTTGGCCAGCGTGATGGGCGAAAAAGCGTCGGAGCGCTGTTCACAGCTCTTGTTACCTGGATGGCATTTGGGAAGAGTATCGCACGTACGGGGGTCTGGCATGGTGGCGACAGGACGAGCAGTTTCGTCAGCGCCTGGTGGCTAATCTGGGGATGCGGTGGGACCAAATGGACCTACCACTATGGATAAAACTTATGATGGCGCAGAAGGCGTCTCCCTTTCAGCCGGGGGCCGGCACGGGCGCTTTCACCGCCGTGTCGGCCAACCAAAAATGGAGCTCTTGTTGGCTATATAACAAGGGACAGTGCAAGTGGGGGGCCACGTGTCGCTTCAAGCACGAGGGCTCCGGGTGTGGAGGTACCCACAGACTACACAGATGCTTTAAGAAAGGTAAGACAGCTCCCGCGGCGGGGGTGTCCGGAGGTTCGGCCACGTAACCTGCAACTGGGGGCAACACCAGTGAAGGTCGGCGCAATGCTACCGTGGCTAAGCCGCTACGCTAACCGGGAAGACACGTTGTTGCTCGAGGATGGGTTTACTAATGGGTTCGTGATCCCGTTTTAGGAACCGGTGGTGGTTCATCGTCTTCGCAACTTGAAGTCGGTGGGAGAATTTCTGGAGGTGGTCAGGGAGAAGTTGCTTAAGGAGGTTCAGTTGGGCAGGGTGGCGGGACCGTTCAGGGAGCCCCTTCTACCTAACTTGAGAGTACCACCGCTGGGGTATATGGAAGCGGGCACTAAGATGGTGGTTCATTACCAGGATGATTTCCTATGTGTCGGCCTACCAGATCGGAGGAATGCCGTATAGGGACTGAGGACATTGGAATGGGTGGCGCACGTTTTTGGAGTCCCCTTGGCGGGTGACAAAACGGTGGGGCCTACGACATGCTTGAGTTTCTTGGGCTTGAAGACAGACTCGATCAAAGGGGAATGTAGGCTGCCACAGGACAAGTTGCTGGCACTCCGGAAGGCAGTGGCGGAGGTGCGGGGAGCTAAGAAAGTCATGCTCCGAGCGCTTCAGTCACTGCCGGGTCGGCTAAACTTCGCCTGTCGGGTGATTCCGGTCGGGAGGGTCTTTAACAGGTTCCTAGCTAGGGCGAGTGGGGGAGTGGGGGAGGTGTTCCCGCACCACCTTATTCAGGTCTCAGCGGCTATGAAGGCCAATCTGGACGTCTGGGGGGAATTCTTACGGGATTTTAATGGGAAGGTGTTCTTTTAGGAGCCAGCGGCATCTTCCCCGGGTTTGGAGCCGTTTACGGATGTGTCAGGGAGTATCGGTTTCGGGGCTTACTTCTCGGGTTAATGGTGCGCGGGAACTTGACAAGCGGTGTGGAAGGCCAGCCCGCTGATCCGCAACTTGGCATTCTTGGAGTTGTTCCGGTTAGTCGTAGCACTGTCCCTATGGGGCCCACAGTTCAGGGATAAGAAGGTTGTATTCTTTTCGGACAATATGGCGGTGGTAGATGCAGTAAATGGGCTTTCAGCGTCCTCTATCATGGTGGTGCGGCCGTTTTGTCTTGTTCTGTACGCGTTTTAATATTGATTTTTTTGGGCACGCCACGTGCCTTGACTGTTGAATGTTATTTCTGATGCATTAGCTCGTTCGCAGTGGGAGAGGTTTCGGCAGGTGGCGCCTGGTGCGCGGGCGAAAGGGATGTTTTGCCTGGACGAGATGTGGCGGACTCATCAGGGACTCCCTGGCACCCGCTACCTGGACGGCGTACAGTAAGGTGTGGGGGGAATGGGACGAGTTGGTGCAGCATATGGGGGGTCAGCTCTCAAAGGAGGCCCGGTTGGATGCGATGTTGTGGCTCTTGTGTAGGTCATTCACCCCAGGGGCCTCGGCAGTAACAGTCGGGCGTTAGCCTTTTTGTTCAAGTTTAATGGATGGGAGGATGTCACAAAACATTTTCTCGTTAGGCAGGTATTGAAAGGTTTCAGGCGGGGTAAGGTGTCGGATTCCAGGAGGCCGGGGTTGTTCGAATTGCTTCAGCAGGTGGTCCGGGTACTGCCCGAGGTGTGTACGGGGTACGAAGTTACACTGTTCTCTGTGGTTTTTAGTTTTGCTTTTTTCGGGGCATTTCGTGTCAGCAGCAATCGCCAAGGGGCCGGGGGGCTTCAGGCGGTGGATGTGGAAGTGTGGAGTAACAGGGTAGTGATCAACCTGAGGCGGTCCAAAATGGATGTACTGGTAAAAGGGACATTGGTTACATTGTGGGAGCTCCTGGGTGGGAAAACGTGTCCGGTTAGGTGCGCAGAGGCCTTCCAGGAGGAGCGGGCGAAGGCCGGGGGTTCATATTTTAAGCATGAGGACGGCTCTTCGCTATCGAAGTTCCAGTTCCTCAGGGTTTTTCGGAAGGCGTTGGCAAGGTTGGGAGTGGACCCGGGCCAATTCGGGACTCATTCCTTTAGGATTGGCGCAGCTACTGAAGCAGCAAGACTGGGCTTGGGGAATGTGCGAGTGAAGAAGATTGGCAGGTGGGAGTCGGTGAGGTTCAGATCCTACGTCAGGCCAGACAAGTTGGTATAAATCCTAAGGGTGGTTGATGGGGAATTTTGGTTTCGCAGTTTGTTTCGTGTCTGTCTATGTTTGTATCATGTCTTACAGGTCGGATGGCATGGGTGGTCGGCCACTCATACATATACTGGACGCATCGGAGAGCTGCAGTTCGACATCGTGGTCTACAGCTGGGCTTTCCAAGTTCCGTGGTTCAGTTTCGGTGGTTTGGTTACCGGGGTTGGGGTTGGAATGCAATTTGTGTTGAAATGTTTCACAAAATTCTTTTGGGACAGGTTCCGGACATAGTGGTGCTTCACGTAGGGGGAAATGATGTGGGGTTGTTACCTCAAAAGGTATTGATTGAGTGTATGAAGCGGGATGTGGACAAGCTGAGAAAGTTAGTGCCGGGGGTTATGGTCATACGGTCGGAAATGGTTCCGAGGTTTTACTGGCGGCACACGCAGAATCCTTCTGCAGTGGCAAAAATTAAGGGAAAGGTCAATAAGGTGATGGCAGCATATGTGAAGCTGTTGGGAGGGGTTGTAATTCGGCACAGGGAGTTGGAAGACATGCTTCCAGGTTATTATAGGCGCGATGGGGTCCAAGTGGGCTTGGACTTTCTATTGTTGGGTTTTAAGGAGGACCTCCAGAGGGCAATCTTTTCCCTGGGAGGGGGGAGGGTGTATCTCAGGAGCTTGAGGAGTCAGGTTCTGAGCTGTGGCGGGGTGTGGAGAGTAAAGTTAGGGGGAGAAAAGAGTGAGATGGGGAAAAAGTTTGGAGTTCAGGGCTAATAGGTAGGCCTTTGGACTGGTTTGGTAGGTTCGAGCTTGTAGGTAGCTCCGAACCGGGGTGTGTAAGGGTATCTCGGTATGCCCCTACACTTGTGGTGCCCTTTGGTGGCAATGGTCATGTTTCAATGTTAAGTTAAATGTTACAATGTTTGGGTATTATGTTATGTGGGAGTGGGTCATTGTCAGGGGGTTTAAATTGTAAAATGCAGGATGGTAATTGTGCAGTCCAATGTTGGCCTGCTGTTGACAATGACCTTTATATTTTATGTTAAGAATCAATAAAGCTGTGATATAAATTTTGCCAAAACTATGGTGTCAGTATTTTATTGGAAAATGGGTAATGGTGGGGTTTATGGATATGCCGACAGGGCGACTGTGCACATGTCATATCATCAAAAAATGATGTGTGCTCTTACATGGTTTGCATCAATACCTTTAAAGCCTGTCCCATATGGTGTTAAGAGTTTAATTATTTTGCTTCAAAACATTTGGCGTGCGTTTTTTTTCTTGTAATAAACAACAATGTGGAAAATATGGGCATTCAAGAGCTTGATATTAAAGTGAAATTAATGTAGAGTATTTGTTTCCTCTTGCGATCACGGATTATGTAAAGAATTGGGACTTGGCAGGAAGTTGCCCCAGATTGCGTAGTGTGACAAACATTTTTGACAGCGTTCCACGAGTTATGTTTATGCCAGGTCAGGATGAGTGCCAGGTACAAAAAGAAGGAATGCGGCTGCGATTAGCAGAGAAAGGAGAGCAAACAAAATATTAATGATATTTAAAAAAAAAAAAGGAGCTAAAAATAAACCTACTCCTTCTCCGATAGGGATTATCGAGACAATGATAGTTCATTTAATGAAGAAAGTCATGTTACATAAACAATAAACCAGATATTTGGAATGGGGAATGACAATAATACCAAGGCCAGATTACACAAATAAAATTATTTTATAATAATTTATAATATTATTTTAT